TTTTTTTTTTTTTTTTTTTTTAGGGACAAGGTTTCACTATCTATCCCTAGCTGGCCTTGAACTTGGTGATTTTCCTACTTTTGCCTCCCAAGTGCTGAGATTACAGGTGTGTTCCTGTAAAGAAGTCTGGCAGTTGTGAATTTTTCACAGCTTTATTTAGGACTAAGTTTTGTGTGAGAGAGGATTGGGAAGTACCCATCATGTGTATTAAAATCTTAGCTTTGTAATGTCATACTTAACAATAGCTTTAAATTGTTGAGTAAAAAATTTTAATAAAACATATATATATGAGGCATTGAAGTTTGAACTCAGGATCTCATGCTTGCTAGGCAGGCACTCTTACCATTGGAGCCATTATTCTAGCCCTTCTTTGTGTTGGGTTTTTTTTTTCAAGGTAGGCTCTCTGAACTATTTGCCCGGGGCTGACTTTGAACCACAGTTCTTCTGATCTCTGCCTCCTGAGTAGCTAGGAGTAGGCAGGAGCTGCAGGCGCCCAGTTGGCATTTGGCTTTTAATGAAAACTTCTTAGCCAACAAAATTTTATATGTAAAATATTTGAAATTAGAGAAGATTCATTTGATATTTAAATTAAATCCTACCACCCAGCAAAAACATGCTGTGGTCACTGTGTAATTGAGAATGACCTCAGATAATTTTTCAGGTGTTTGATTAAAGAAATAATAAGCTAAGCTCTTGATATAATAAGCTCTTGTCCTTATATGGGAAAGCCATCAGGATAATTTGGAATATAGGAAGAAAATTAGAAGCAATCTTCAATTTATGTACCATGTGCCCTCCACCCCATCAGCATGTCATAGTATGGGAGAGCTTGGGGGCCACAGAACTCCCTATTCTCCCTGCTGCCACCAATTTTTATCCTCTCTCAGGCTGCTGTTCAGCTAGTTACCTTCTCCCTGTCTCTAATAACGAAGGTGTACTTTTTTTCTCTTTTAATCTTCCTTAAGATTGATCTGAGGTAGGATTTATCTTAGTGGAACTACAAAGTGGCAAGTAGAGTTGAATAGGCTTATGACAGAAAACAGGGAAGCAAGGTGCACTTTCAAGATACCTACTCTGGTTTTGAAGATACAATCTTCACTTTTGTCTTCCACCCTTCCGTTTCAAATTCTTTTCTTTTTTCTAGAGCCTCAACACATATCTTCTCCAATAAAATATCCAGATATCCTTGTCTCACTTTTTCTAGTCAATCTATAGGAATCTTTAATTCTTTGTAAGCCTCTGAGAATTGATTATAGTCTCTTATACAGTCTTTGTCTGTCTTTAAATAGTAGGTGAAAGAAGGAAACCTTCTCCCTTTTTCATTTTGGCAGTAAAATTTGGTAAAATTTTTTTTGAGTATAAGCTTGCTTTAGGGATAAGAAGGTTAGTAGAAGTATAATTACCCTTAAAACTTGAAATGGAAGATACCTTGTGGCCTAGAATAGGAAACAGCAGTCAGTCCTTAGATCAGAAGGGAGTCAGCCAGGATGGAGGGTATCTGGCAGGTTCACACCAGCTGTGGTTCCAGATCCTTGCTATGGTAGATTCACCGCTGTTCTTTAGGATCCTTTTGACCTGTTTGTAAGTTGACACTTGCCCACATTAATTTCAGAGAAAACTAGTTCCTACATTCCTCAAATTTGAGTGTTTATTGATCACAGTGCAATTGTCACTAGTAGTAAAATATTGGCAAGGTTTTGTTAGTGATTTAGTTTAAATTATATTGAATGAGAAAAGTGTATTTTAATGTGGAACATGACTGTCAGGTGATGAAATAGACATTTCACCGCAGGGAAAAAACCAGCTATGTGTTGTCTTTTATAGTATGTGAGATCATACTGTGTATTTCAGAGCATGATTCTTGCTGAGAAAAGTTTTGTTAACTCATATTTAGCACTGTTTTCAAACTTGTTGATTTTAAAAAAACAGGTTACTTCCCCTCAAAATTTCAGCAGGAAATTTCTACCATGAAGCAACAGATGAAAGAATTTTATAGTGAACACCCACTATGTAGATTCTACTTTTAACCTTACCACATTATTTCCATTTATCCATCATCTATGTTTCTTTTCATTACTGTCAGATTTTTTTCAGTTTAGCACATTGAGAAAGAAAGGATTTGTGTGTAAGATAATATATGAAAGTATTTTGTAGAGAGCAAATCAAAGTCACTCAGAACTAAGATGGGTTGGTTGAATGTTTATTTTCTTCATCCAATCAAAAATAAAGCATTGTTTTCTTGGAAAGTAATTCAGTTTTAAGTTAAAGTTTTTATTTCATTCTTATTTGCAGCTCACCAAGTACCTTTGTCTAGTTAGGAGGTTCTTGAATGTTAGCTATTTATTTTATTTAAAAATAATGGAGGGGCTGGTGGTGTGGCTCAAGTGGTAGAGCACCTGCCTAGCAAGCGTGAGGCCTTGAGTTCAAATCCCAGTAACACACACACACACACACACACACACACAAAGAAATGGTGGAGAGAATTGAGGTTTCTTTTTTGGTGGTACTAGGGTTTTGAACTCAGGGGTTCATGCTTCCTTGGCAGGTGCTCTACCACTTGAACCACTCTGCCAGCCCCCCGCCCTTTTTTTGTTGTGCTGGGGGAGGGAACATTGTGGCGTTTACAAATGTTCTTACAGAATATAAAATATACTTGAATTTACCCCTTCCATCATTCTCCTTTATCCTCCTCTTTCTCTCCATTCCTGGAATATTTTCAACAGATACCACTTATCCATTTACATACATGTGTACACAGTATTTGCACTATATTCACCCTCCCATGTTCTTTCCCCACCTCTTCTGCTTTCCCACTGGTACCACCTCCACCCCTCTACCAGGCAGGACCTGTTCTACCCCTCTGTTCTCCAACTTTGTTTAAGATGATGAAAAAAATGACATTTTTATTTAAGATAGCTATACAGGGAGTTTCCTTGGGATATTTCCATGTATATTTGTAATATAACCTAATTTAGTTCATTACCCCTATTTTTCTTCTTTCTGCCATAGTCCCTTTTTTTATTGCCAGTCATTTTTTGAGATAGGGTCTCTTGAACTGTTTGCTCGAGCTGGCTTCCAGCCACAATACTCCTGTCTCCCAAGTACCTAGGATTATAGACATGAGCCTCTAGCGCCTGGCAAGAAAAAATTTAAAATACAGAAAATAAGCTGGGCTTAGTGCCTCATGCCTGTAATCCCAACTGTTAGGGAAGTAGAGATGGAAGAATCAAGGTTTGAGGCCAGCTTTTGATCACATTAATTTGGCTCTTAAAATGTAGAATATCACAAGGGTAAATTGGAACCTAGGTATTTTTTAAGGTATAGAGTTTATTATTTTGATTTTTTTTGTATTATTTAATAGAAGAAAAACAGAAGACTGGGCTTCAGGCTTTCCTACTTAATTAAGGATCTGAAAACCATACCTCAGAGGTTTGTGTAGAAAAAGTTGTTTTTCTTAATCCTTAATTCTTTGACTAGTTAAAATAACACCTAAAGGGAAAACTAGAAACATGATTGTTTGTTTTTACTTACATACATACATTTACATGTTTATTTATTTAGATAGTAGAAACAAGGGAACAAAATAGGTGGATTCTTCCCAGGAGAAAATAAAGTTTATTGTAGGAAGAGGTGGTAAACAGTACCCTTCCATTTAACACCTCTACAAATGGTTAGATGTCACTAAAATAATATGAAAAGCACTGAACTTCAAAAAAAATGTAGTTTAATAGATTTGATATCCTAATTTACCAAGTTTCTATAAAACTCAATACTTAAAATTTGGTCTCCCCCTGCCACCCTTTCTTTTTTGTCATTCTGCTGTTGTATTATTACAACAGTTTTATAGGGGTCACCACATATGTATGCTTCCCTTCTCCTAGTCTACTTTGAATGAATGTCACTAATGCAAAAACAAGAGTAGCTTCACAGTCATGCTCGAGAACCTGTAATGCAAACCTGTTTTGTGAGTTTGTAAGCCTCTTCAACCCTTGGTTAGACTCTTCAAAGCCCTTCAAATATTGTCCTACTCTAGGTCGGTCTTTACCTGTTTGTCCTTTAAAACCCAGATGAGTTCCATCACACTTTATTTATTGTTCAAATTTAAGCTGTTCTGTTTTTCTAAGCTCTTTCTTTTACTCACTGTTGAACCACATAGTAGATGAGAGATATAATAATAGTGTATAGTCAGCTTTTGTTGCTGTGACAAAACACTTGAGAAAATCATCTTAAAGGAGGAAACGTGTTTTGGCTCACAGTTTCAGAGATTTCAGTCCATGGTCAGCCGGCTCCTTTACTGTGGGCTTGTGGTGAGGCAGAGCATCACAGCAGAGAGGACATGGTGGAACAAAGCTGCTCACTTAATAGTGGTGGGAAAGCAGAGCAGGGAGGTACAGGGAGGATTGAGGAGAGGGAAAAAGGGGTAGAGGGAGAGGCAAGGCACAAAATATAGCCCTCAAGGGTATGCCCCCAGGGACCCAGTCCCTTTAATAGATGCTACCTCTATGTTTTCCTCACCTCCCAGTAACTCACCAGATTATGAACCCAGCAATGGATAAATCTGTTGATTACTCTAATCACTTCTCCCAAACTTCACCTTTGAACATTGTAACTGGGGACCAAGCCTTCAACACATGAGCCTTTGGGGAACATTTCAGATCCAAACTGTATTGTATAACATAGTAGTTGAGACCATGAAGTTGAAAGCCAGTCTTCATGTGCGTGGATTGAGAATCTAACTTTTAGATTAGGGCTCTAGTACTTACTACTGTGTGACCTTGGGCTAGTTAATTAACCCCTTTGTGCCTCAGTTTCTTTATCAGTAAATAGAGATAATAACAGCACTTATGTCATAGAGTTATTGTGATAGATGTAAAGCATTTAGAATAGTACCTGACCCAGTGTTCGGGTGTTGGGTTTTTGTTGTTGTTCTTTTTTTTTTTTTTTTTTGGTGGTACTGGGGTTTGAACTGGGCCTCATACTTGCTAGGCAGGCACTCTTACCACTTGAGCCACTCCAACAGTCCTCTGACCCAGTGTTTTAAGTGTTTGATATTTTAAACAGTATAACCAAGCACTTGTTTATTCTCAGTTCCCCACCCTCCTGAATGGTGTTTTTAATCTCCATACTTAGATGGTAAGCTCTTTTATGGCAGAGGATTGCACATTTTTGGTTCAGTCTCTCATCCCTTGTGATAATTATTCAGTAAAACTCGGCCAGTTTGACTTCTCTGTAGCCCATGCTCCTGTGTGAAAACCTGCATTTATTAAGCACTTTAAATGAACTATTATTAAGGAGCCATATGGAAAGAGAGAGCCGTGAATGCTTTTAGCATTCACCTTCTTGTGGTTGAAGGTCTGGTAACAATCCTTAAAAACTTCTACATTGTGAAGTAACCTCTAGACTTTGTTAGTTTCAAGCTGAGAGTGTGTTGAGACAGGAAGAAGAATAAGTAAAGTTTTGGTATTTAATGTTGAAGTGACTTTAACATCAGGTTTAAAATAGGCTACTTTTCATTCATAGCTGAGTGTTAATTAAAGAATGGAATAATTTTGCTTGTAGCAAATGATAATCTTTGTGTAATTAACTTTTGTCTTCCATGTCAAAATATTCTTTAATTGAAAAAAAAACCCTTGCCCTTTTTTTCACAGGACTTCCGGATCCATTTGCTAAGGTGGTGGTCGATGGATCTGGCCAATGTCATTCTACAGATACTGTGAAGAATACACTTGATCCAAAGTGGAATCAGCATTATGACCTGTAGGTTTAAATGGTGAATTTGAAATGAAACAGAGTAAACATATTTAATGTAGTCTCTGAAAAGAATCATGGAAAATGATCTGTGGTATGATTTTGCTTGTATAAAAGAAGTACAAAATCCAGTGGAAAAGTGCTTTGGCTTATTGATACTTGATTTTGAAAGATGAAGTATATACTAAAAAGCCAATTAAGAACAAAATGAAACTGGCTCACTGTATAGAGAAGCACCCCCCCCTTTAATGAAATAGGCCAATTATAGGTATAAAAGTAGGAATCAGAATTGCTTCTATATAGATAGCTTCTTTAAATATTCTTCTTTAAATCCTTATTTTAATTATAATGGTGTATGTGCCTTTTAAAAAAGACAAATAGTACTATGAGGTTTTTAGTGAAAAGCAGTGGTTCTCTGCCCTATTTTTATTCCTGGTTTTTATAAGTTCGGCTGTTTATCCTGGTATTTTCTTCTGTTTCTAGATGTCTTGTTTATTTTATAGCATCTCAAGATTTTTTTTTTTGGTGGTACTGGAGTTTTGAATTCAGTACCTCATGATTACTAGGCCGGTACTCTACCAGTTGAGCTGCTCTGCCAGCCCCTTTTTTGTGTTGGGTATTTCTAAGACAAGGTCTTATTTTTGCCTAGGCAGACCTCAAACCTCCTGATCTTTGCCTCCCGAATAGCTAGGATTACAGGCATGAGCTACGGGTGCCCAGCTCTGTTTTTAATTTTAGATATTTAAAAATTTATTGCCTTAGAAGATGATTTAGCTTTTAAAACTGATAGGCTTTATCCTTATTCTTAGAACACTCACATGCCCCTTCCTTTATTTTAGCCCTCCAGGATAGTTATGTAAACCTTTTTGGTTAAATTTTTATTATGTGTTTACATGATTATGGTTATTTAAATATTCAGAGCTGGATCACGTGGTATGGTATATAAGAATTACTTTTCCTTTTTTTTCTTTTTTTGGTGCTACTGGGGTTTGAACTCAGGGCCTGTGCTTGCTAGGAAGGTGTTCTACTACTTGAATCATTCCTCCAGCCTCTACTTTTCCTTTCTTGACAACTTTTGTTTCTAAAGTTAATAACTATCTTCATCTTTTGTTTAGTTCCTTTCTGTCTCCTTAATGAATTCCCAAACTCCTGTGGAACTAAACATCCTCTCTCTATATTCTTCTCTGTATATGTCTATGGCTTTTTCTTTTGTTGGAGACATCTTTCCTGACACCTCTGTCTTATTGTTCTAGTCTGGCCTGGTGATTCTCTTAAGAACTGTGTAGTTGTCCTGGGACTTGCCTTTATCATTATGTTAGGAATACTGTCTTTTCTAGGTCCAATGACTTCCTGGTGGTTGTTTATTTTTTTTTTTTTCCCTACTCTCCTGTTTTGGTGCAGTTTACCTTCCATTATCATTTTGAGAAAGAATATAAGGATGGCAAAAATCTTTTTTTGAGATCCTAGCTAAAATAAATATTTTTGTCTTCTCACTAGTTTGTCGAAATACAGACTTTAAGGTATGATGTCAGTTTTTCCCCAAATTTTGAATACATTGTTCTGTTATCTTCTAGGTCTAGATAAGCATCTATAGAAATATAGATGCTTCCACAAATGACAGCTCATCTACAATTTTAAATTTCTAGTAACCACATTTAAAAGTCTAAAAAGAAGTACATGAAAATTAAGCATGTTATTTTATAAAATTCAGTATATCTAAAATATTATCATTTCAACATGTAATCAATATAAAATATTATGCTATTTATCATATGCTAAGTCTTTAAAATCAAGGGTTTATTTTGTACTTACAGCAGTTAAAGCTTGCCTGAGTTTGGACTAGCCACATTAGAAATACTCAATAGTCCCATGGTGGCTGATGGCTGCCATTTTTAATAGGAAGGTTTAGAGTGTTGCTGATGGGATCCTAATTTTGGCCTTTCTAATTACTGTTTTCCACATGGAAGATTTCAGGGTATTCTCTCTTATTTCTCTGCTGCTAATCTTTGGCATTTTTCTTTAAAAAAGTATATCCATCCTAGTGGGTATGAATTGGTAACTTATTTTCGTTTTGATTTGCATTCCTCTGAAGACCACTTATGTTGAACATCTTTTCATATTCTTGTTAGATTTTATGTTACAGTTAATATTAACTGGCTACATATGAGCTTCTCATTGTGCTTATTTCCAAGAGTCTATACTGGAGGGAAAAAAATCAGGGAAACACTTTGAATCATTTTGTAAAATCTTTCCCTTTAATTGGCTAAGTCTATATAGTCTAATAATTGCATTTTAGACAGAAATCTTGAATGTATATCTTATATTTTGGTCTATATGATAATATTGTATTCTCTTACAGAGGTATCCCTCATGATTGAGTATATTGAAGCTTGTTTATAAACCATATATTTGTTGGTGAAATTGAGGTTTTAATAGATCCTAACAGAGCCTTCTGTTTTACTTATAAGCTGGGTGTTGATGGTGCATGCCTGTAATGCTAGATTCTCAGGAGGCTGAGGCAGGAGGATCATAAGTTTGAGGCCAGTTTGGAGAACATAGTGAGACCCTGCCTCAAGAAATTAGCATATTTAACTTTTAATTATAAAAGGGTTCACTTTTTCCTTTAGGTAGCCTATATTTTTAAGGAAACTTCATGAAAGCAGATAGTTCTTCAGGTCCAAGAAATCATAATATTTCTGGTTAATTTTTGGCCCAGAAATACTTCTACGGAATGTTTGTGACATTGTATACAATACCATTAATTTTTTTTTTTTTTAAGTAATTCACAGGTTATTTTCCAGAAGGCCCATAATTAACAAATGTTTATTAAAATTTAATGTGGAGCTTTCCATTCTTTTCATATGATATACATAAAAAGTACGATTGTAGGCTGTACTAAAGAGATGGCGTTCCTTGAGCCAGTGGTAGGCTGCCCTGAGGCTTTGAGAGTCAGTATTTAGCATATCTGCTCACTAGGCCTACTAGTTGAGAAACTGATTCAATTTTTCTAATGTTTAGTTTGAGGTGTTTTACCTCAGTTCTTGATTTTGGTTCTGGGATTTTGATATAGCATGCAGTAGTTACATTCCAAGATAGTTGTGGTAGGAATATTTGAAAATTGGTGCATACATACTGAAAGATATTTTAGCCAAGATCTTTTCATGTATAAGCAACAGACCAAATTCAGATTTTCTTAATTAACAACAACAACAACAAAAAGGGTAATATATTGGCTTACATAATTAAAAGGCCATAGATGAGCCTTCTTTAGGCAGAGCTGGATCCAGGGACTCATGCCAGGGACTCATGTGAGACTTCTGTGTTCCTTATTTAAAAGTTTGAGCCCTCACTTCCGTGGTTTTAGGCTTTTCTATTTACTAGGTGATTTTTTTCCCAGTATTTCTGTTTTGTTGAATGATAGTTTAAGATCAAGGTTGCTGGACCAAAAATTTGACCTTTTAGAGTCACTGCAATAGAGTTAGGTTCTATTGATATATTTATGTTATTAAATATGTTCTTGCATGGGTTATGCCATGTTAACAATTGGCTATGGTAGAGCTTTTACATACTTTCAGGCATATGCACAGACAAGTACAGTAACGCTTTTCCCTGCTCTGCTTGTCTGCAGGCAGTGAAGTGAAATCTGCAAGAGTCCTGCTCGCTCAAGGCCTGCATATAGGAAAGAAGCAGGGGAAAAGCGTTACATACAGCTTTTGTTCTCCAGCATTTAAAAATATAACAGGTAGGTCAGATATTTGGTCTGTCAGCCTTGACAATGCCCCTCAAAAGTTAACTAAGTCTTCTGAGGTAGTAGGTCATATCACTGAAATGTATTTAAACGGTGACTGAATTAAAAGTTCTTTCAGGATTTTTATTATTGGAAAGAAGTAATCATTAAATCCCCCCTTAGTATTTATAGACATTAGCTACTAAAAGAGCTTTTTTACTAATAAGAATTGTTACCCAGCCTAAGAGTGGCAGATAAGGATATATTAAAAATTAATTTTAGGTATTTTAAGATTTGTAAAAATTTTAAGTTCAGTTCTGTGGGTTGATTGAATTAAAAACATATTTTGCATGTTCTAGTCATATGCTGAAATATAGTTGTGCCTTTAGAATATTAAAAAACAAAAAAATTCTACACTACTTGTAACTACCTTGTTATTTATGCAAACATTTTGTGTTTTAGGTATATTGGAAAGTCTGATTCAGTTACAATCAGTGTATGGAATCACAAGAAGATCCATAAAAAACAAGGTGCTGGATTTCTTGGTTGTGTTCGTCTTCTTTCCAATGCCATCAACCGCCTCAAAGACACTGGTTGTGAGTACATACTAGTGCTTTTTAAATTTTGGAAAAAAAATATATATCTGAGAATATGTTGTAGGAATCCAAAAACTTAGCTTCCTGTATGTTTGAAATATGAGTAAAAATTCTTAATCTATATTTATTTTGTGGACTTTAATATGTGGAAACTAGAGTTAATCCTTAGTTTCCAGTGAATTTATAAATTTTAACAAGTGATTGATATGCACAAGGCTAAAAAGAGGTCAAATTATATATGCCTTTAAAATTTCTTAATACCCTTCTCTGATTTTGGTGGATTTGTGAGATGGAAGGGGGTTTTTATTTAGGTGTTTGGAATAATTAAAGTAGCTATTAGTAGATAAGAATGGTAGAATGTATAAAACTATGACAAAGTTAAGTTAAAGAACAATAATTCATCATTTTGAATGTAAGATAATTGTATTAATACTTAATTGTAGCTCAGTTTATCACCAGCCTGCATAGTTAGAAGATAGATCAAAATCAAGTCATTATAGGTAATTGCTTAATGGATTGATAAATTGCTTTACATATATCTTAATTCATGTAACCAATTGACAAAAGTCTTTTTTGGGAGGGTCTCTTTCTTGGGACATAGGTGGAAATACTTTTTCAATAGGTTTTTTTTGTTGTTGTTGTTTCTATAGAATTTTTTAATGTAATATAAACAATATCATTAGCCATTGTTCCCCATGCTAAATAAACTCACATAAAATTTATCTAAGGAACTTAATAAATAAACAAAACCCATAAGTTTAGCTTTGAATGGTAGATATATTAAAATGTGATCTTTTTTATTATTACTGTTATTCCTGTAGTGGATATTGAACCCAGGGCTTCGTGCATGCTAGGCAGGTGCTCTGCACTTGAGACAGAGACAGACTGTTTTAACTTAGTTTAATACCTCTGCCCAGATACTTAAATATTGACCTGTCAAGAGAAGACTGAGAGCATGGTTCAGGTGGTAGAGTGTTAGGCTAGCAAGCTCAAGGCCCTGAGTTCAGTCTCCACTACTGCAAAAAAAAGAAAAGGAAAACAAATTGAGTTAAAAGTTCTGAGTTAGGGGAATTTAAAGGCATCTGAGAAATTCTTATATTTCTGGGTTAACAGGCTGGTGACTAACAGGAAAGAGATGTTGGGATTGGAAAAGTACTGCATTTAAAACAGACTGGTATATTACCCAATTCAGTAGGCAGACTTAAAACTTAAAAGATCAAATGTCTGACATTATCCTTCATGCAGTTTACCAACATTTGTTGAACGCTTAGTACCTTAGAACAGGTACTGTTCTAAACCCTGGGGATACAAAGGTGAAAAAGGCATGGGTCCTATTCTCTAAGAACCAAGAGAAAAAGCCTTCTGGCACAGGAAGTATTCCATATTGGAAGAACTGCATGGAAGAGAAATGTGCTCTGCAAAGAATTGCATAGTTAACTCAGTAACATCCATTTATTTTGCAAAGGGAGAAATATCTGTAATTTTGGCTGGATAGCCATGGGGTACAGTTTGGGGCCACAATTTTTTCTTTCTGCTGCTTGTAAATGTTTCATTGCATTAATTTATTTGATCTCTTTGATGTGCAGCAATATTAATCCAATATTTATTGAGCACCTGATGTGTTCTACCAGGTTGGAGTACAGAATACAAAGACTAAAATATGATGTCTTCCTTTTATGACTTCATGATTATTTAAGGTGGCATACAGTTTTAAAAGAATTCAGCTGTATGTGCTATAATCAAAGTTAAAACCAATATGCTATGGGTGACATTGCTTTTTACTATAACCTTATAGTAACTCAGGCATCTGAGTTGTTCCCTAAATCAGTAGTGGCAGAACTAATTCAAACTCAGATTATAATTCTTTTTGGCTTCTTATTGATCCTTACCTTGTATGTACATCCTTTGAAATGGTTAACAAATAACAATGACAACAACTAACTTATTGAACACGTATGTGGCAGGCACTATGCCAGCACATACGTTTTTGTAATTTTATGTAATTATGAGTTTTGTGTAATCTTCTGATGTAATTCTTAAAAAATACATGAGACCAACAATTATTAAGAGGTATTTCATACCAGGTGTCAGTGGCTCATGCCTGTAATTCTAGCTACTTTGTAGGGTAAAATTGGGAGGATTTCAGTTCAAGGCCAGTCTAAGTAAATAGTTCATGAATGCCCCTGCTCCCAATGTCCAAAATGATCAGAGCAAAATGGACTGGAGTTGTGGCTCAAGTGGTAGAATGCCTGCTTTGCAGTCATGAAAGCCCTGAGCTCAAACCCCATTCCTACCAAAAAAAAAAAAAAAAAGATAAACCAAGACTGAAGTGATCTGAAGCTCTGGAGAGAAAGTAACTGCCTGTTGGCAATGTGTAATACACCAGTGTTTTGTGGTTTTTGAAATCTGAATTATCAGAACTTGTCAGGATGTTTATAATAATTGTAAATTCAGTTAGAGAATTTTAACATTTGCTTTATAATTAAAATGATTACTTTTTAATATCATGTTAAGAGAAGTAAGCCAGGCACAGAAAGACAAAGGTGGCATGTTTTCTCTCATTTGTGGGAGATAGACACAATACAAATACAAGCAATATTATGAAAAAACAGGTCATGGTAAAGGGGAGGTTACTAATGGGAGATGAAAGGTAAAGAAGGAAGTTAAAAAAGTGAATGTGGTTGTGCTTCCTATACAAGAATGAGTATAGAATTTTTAAGCCTGTTGAAATCACCATAAGAAGGGCACTAAAGGAGAAAGGAGAAAAATAGAGGGAATGAACCAATTCAGGTTATAATACATATATACTTAGAAATATTACAGTGAAACTCCCTGTATAGCTATTGTAAACAAAAGTGTCTCTTTTTTTTTTCTTTTCAAAAACGGAGAACAGGAAGGTGAAACAGGTCCTATCTGGGGGGTTGGTACCAGTGGGTGGGGGTGAGGAGATGAGGAAAGGGTGCAGAAAGGTGAATATAGTGTAAATATTATGTAGTAATGTATAAAAATGGAGAAATGAGACCTGTTGAAACTATTCCAGGAATGGGGGAAGGAGGAGATAAAGGAGAATGATGGAGGGGATGAATTCAACTATGGTATATGTTGTGAAAACGTTTGTAAATGTGACAGTGTACTCCCAATACAACAATAATATGATAAATAAAATGATTAATTTCTAAAATGATAGGTCTGCTCTGATTTCTAGTGGTTTATGGAAATTTATTTTCATTACAGATGTTAGAATTTCTGATACCAGCTAACTTTAAAATTTTTTGTTGTTGATTTGAAATAGATCAGAGGTTGGATCTATGCAAACTGGGGCCAAATGACAATGATACAGTGAGAGGACAGATAGTAGGTAAGTGTGAAATGTAAAGTTGTGTGAATTTTGGCCTCATTCAACTGCCCTAAGGTCTAGATACCTTTTAAATGGAAATGTCACTATGGCTTCATCATATTTTGCATGAATTAAGTCTGAGTCATGTAGAATGCTAAAAACAGTGGGCCCATGATACATACAGGTTAACTTAGTTAATGAAAAAAAATAATACAGCAATAGCAACAACAACAACAAAAAGCTTAAAAAAAAAAGTAGCAGCTCCTAGTATAAAGAATTATTGATCCTTTAGGAAGGAATTGTTTCAAAATATTCAGCTATAGTAGGACACTGAGGAAGATAGACTTTAGTTTAAGAAAAATTTTCTTAAACTAATAAGAGACTGTTCTGCCCAATTCAGTATTTAAATGCTTTGTTTTATGTTTAGTGCATTATAGTTTTATAAGTCTATGCTAAGTGAAAAAAATAGGGCAATGACAGTGTAACACTAACTGGAAGAAAGGGAGAAATTGTTACTTTACTCCTAAGGTTCTCAGTGGAAATGGCCGCATAGGCCATTGAATTGACCTAGAGGGAGGAGTTTGATAAAAAATTTCTCCAGACTTGTCTTAAGAATTGATGGGTTGAGATTTGATCAATCTGATCAGTGTGGTAGGACACTGAAAAAGGCATCTTTGAGACTTCTTACAGAAAAGAAAAATACATTTGGAATCTTCCCACTTTGTGATAGAGCAAAATTTTGACTAGAATGATTTCATTGTGAATCTGTTAGAAAGCTTTTAGTTTCCAAAGGTACTTGGAAGACTTCATTTTACAATAAATCGTGTTCATAGTTGGGGAACTGCCAGAGGAGTCCCATAACAAAGCCCTATTGCAGCTTTCCCAGGGAAGTAGCTACTTGACAAGATAACGAATAATTCCTGTTGCTCTTAAATTGAGAAGGGGGTAAAAAGCATCCCAAATACAAGCCCTGGTACCGTCAAGCCTTTTACATGTAATTGCTCCTACTGTATTCAGTTTGGTCTGTTATGAAATGCTTGTTAATTAATATGTAGGAGTAACAAAATAGTTATACTAGATATAAACTTGAATTTATAAAAATAGCATACTTTATTGGAGTATGCTACATATTTTACTTATAGATATGTATATATGTATATATATTTTAATTTAAAACTCTTGTGTGAGTCTGATATCAATATAGGACCTTTGGGGTGGGGGTAGGGGGGAGAAATGACCCAAGCCTTGTATGCACACATGAATAATAAAATTAAAAAAAAAAAATAGACCTTTAATAAGAGAGAGGCAGGCCAGACTCAAACATTTCTCAGTTCTGTCATTAGATAAAAAAGAATGAGTCCAGTTCTTGGAGAGTTAAGACTGTACAAATAATTATATACACACATGTATCTTTTTGGAAAATGGAGAGGAAAGGAGTATACTAGAAAACTAACTAAAAAATAACATTTTTTATCTGGGTATGGCAATGCTCCTATGTAATTACAGCATTTGAGGCTGGGGCAGGAGGATTATCAGTTCAAGGCCAGCCTGAGCTACATAGCAAGACCCTCTTTCAAAAAAAAATCACTCTCTAATATTTTATATATGTATATATTTTATATGTATTTTTATGGTTTTAATTAAGGAAATAATTTTTAAAATTTATTTTCTACATATGTGCGTACAAT